GCTTTACCCAGCCAGAGTTTCTGAATGTTGAGTAATGAACTGTTAATAAAAATACTCTGCCTGACTACCAAGCTCAGCTTCACTTTTTGCTTTTCAAATTTAAATAAAAAGCTCTGCATGTAATCTATGCAATGCTTTAGATAATTAATTACTCAAACGATTTGCCACCCTTCTAGAACTGGCCATTACAACATGCAGTAGTCTTCTAGCAACAACTACTGAGATATGAGATAGCAGGGCAAGAAAGTTTTAGGGACCAATGGCTGTGACATTTTGATACTGTACTACTTAGGAGATTTATCCATTCTCTCTGAATGGTTCAGGATGGTGCTCTCAACCATTCATCTGCATTCATGATTTCATCCATCTGCCTCTCTATAACTACATTTCTCCTTCCTGAAAAGAAGAGGCTGGAGGGTACAAATTGACTACCATAATAAGTATCAGCTTTTAGCCACTATTATTTCTTTGTTTCATTCCTAAAGCCCTTGTCTCTCGTTTGTTTTTTTTTTTTAAAATCTTATTATTTTTCACACTTTGTCACGAAATCTCTTGTCTTCTGATAGCTGGCATTCCTGGCATTCTTCTTTAAGCTTGGTTCCTGGAGAGTTGGACAGCTCAGGTTCAGGTTTTAAAACAAATATACTTAGCCATTCTGGCTCTCGAGAAAAGAATTGAACACAGAAAGCAAATTTAAGTGAAAAGTTCATATGTAAATAAACTGTCCTTTTAAAATAAACACAGTTTTTTAAGCCAGTCTTTAGGATTTGGAGTTCTGCTTTGTGGGTTTTTTTTTGTTTTGTTTTGTTTGGTTTTTTTTTTTTTTTCAACATACAGAGCCAGTAATGCCTCCAACAGTCTCATGGAATTGGCCAGTACCCAGGAATACAGGCACCATAAAGTGAGCAGGAATTATAAGACCTGATCAGGGATGACCACCCAATTGAGAATATGCTACGCTATGGGTCAGGACAGGTTATATAAATATTGAAGTAGTGACTGTAGGAGGGGATTCTGTTGCCTTTATGTAGTCTCAGAGTTATGAACTAAGATGGTTCACTTTTAGCAACAAGAACTGCATAGTCATAGCAGGTCATCACACGCTTTGTGGGAGTGGAACTACTGTGGGACATTTAAGCAGGAACTGTAATCTGGAAACACAAGGCCTCTTTGCAGGAGGTAGGGTATCCAGCACACTGTGCTCACGCTGCTGCAACATGCAAGCAGTCCAGCAGCACATGGGAAGCGTGGGCAATAGATACCTTGCGCATGCCCACATCTTAGCCACAGTAGCAATGCAAAAGCAAGAGACAGCATTAAGCCTTCTGAATATCAACAGGATGCCCACAGGAAAGAAAAGCACATCAGCAAAAGATGTACTAGCAAAATACATAGGCTCACATGAAGAATGGCATGATAAGTACATAAACAAATGGTACGTATTAGTGTTGTCACACCACTATTAACTTTAACAAAGATGGATTCATTCTCATTACAAAAACTCATATGGAAGTTGTAAGTAGAAAAAATAAGAAATTAAGAGGGATGTGGAGGTGAGTCTGTTCACACAGCACTAACCTGGTGACAGCAACTCTAATATTTCAAATGAGTTTTCTTAGTAAAAAGCCCATTTGGTTTTATAAGCAAAAAGTTATTTCATGTTCATCATGCAGTATTTGAAACAACTGGATAAATCAAAGAGGTTTAAAAATAGGTTAGTACAGTTTGTTTTCATAGCAAAGAGTGATTTCTTCCTAGGCATACTGCCTGAAGAGTAACTGTACTAGTTCTTTGAGGTCTGTGATTGTGATAATCTCCACTTTTGTTAAAAAAGAAAGGAAAAGCACGTTCCTACTCTTCACTAACATTCACATTCATTAACATCACATTCCTAAGAGAATGTGATCTCAGCACACCTTAAGGCTCAAAAATCAAAAGCTAAGTAGAAATACACCAGAATTTAAAATACTGGGAGTTTTACAAGAGGATAATATTAAGTTTAGATGTGACTCATGATTTCTAAATGCTTTAGGTATGCAACAGTGATTTGTATAGAGACTGGGTTGCATCAGTGGAAGAGGCAGTTGCAGTGAGAGACTTGCTAACACTCAAAAGGCAGCTGACATTCACAGATTCTAAGAACTTACAAAAATGCATAAATATGACACAAATTTGGAATCAGGAAAGAAAGGTAAAAGAAGTATTAAGATACAACTTCAAGTCCCAGTCTAATGAGGTCACATAAGTATGGTTGCTAGTTTCCAGAAGAACACCTTTTCACCCAATGGAAGAACTGGCAGTTTCCTGAGAACATCAGTCTTTTAAGGATGACAAATATAACCAAAAATGTCTTATTCAAAAAACAACCACCATTTTTTTTCCTGATGAACAGTCTCCACACTCCCTACAGTCTACATTTACCTTTAGAAAAGTATCTACTTTCAGTCATTCTCACTCACGGCTAGGCTTCGCGAACGAAGATTAAGGAAGGATCTATCCACATTTATTACAGGCACAATCTACTTTCGGTATTGACTTAAAAAAAAAAATTGACTATGTGGAGGTATTGATAAAAACAAGGCATTGATACTATTGATACTAACATATACTGTTAAAGAAATGTGATTTTGGATTGGTAATGGAAGTATCCTTCCTTCAGTACAACCAGAAGACATATTTTTTAAACATTTCAAAATATTTTGGCACACAGATCTTACAGCATGACTTGGAATATGCAGACTTTTCAGTCAGCTGTTCCGTATCTACATGCTATAGTTTTGCAGGAGATGATTCAATTGTTAATAATTTATAGTATTTACTGCCCTCCTGCTGCTAAGTAAACAGTTTTATAAACTAATGCATGCCCTTGCTGTAATAAACAGAGAGAAGACAGGAGTTGTATTAGTAAGAAGACAGGATCTTCACTTTCTTGCAGGACAGCACACTTTCTGCTAATAGAAAGAAGGTGCCCAAGCAGGCGCTTGGCAGAAGTGTGCTCGTCAGAATGGTACCTGGTCTAGGACTGACTGCTGTTGGTTTGGCTAGTGTCACAAGCAGCTGGAGGCAAGCACTGAACATGGTGGGGAATGTTTAAACGGGTATCCCAACTAGCTGGTGGAAGGTGTGGGTTTCTTCTCACAGAGGAGGAGGAATGGAATGTCAGAAGCATTTCTCATGGCATTTATGATATCGGCTAGTATAGACTGGGAAATAGATCAGAACAGGTACATTTACGTTAGTGGCTTAATGTGTAATGGAGGTCATGTTGAGTGTAATCATCCTTACAGCTGGAGTTCTGTGCATTGTTCAAATGCACTATACTGCTGTATGTGAAATGGCTCCTCTGCTAGGGAAATAAGGAGGAGGCTGTACACAGTGGTGCCACATAAAGTACACAGTAATACAGACCCTTGTTTAGTGCTCCTCAGCCTCAGAAGAGCTGTGTTAAAGTATGCTTAGATGAACAATAGCATGGGGTTTGCATTGCCAGGTGTGGTTGGCCAGAAATCGAGGGTGGGGTACTTGAGTTAATCATCTGCATTCAGCATCATCACCACCACCACCAAGAAAGACGGCTTCAAGCCACTCCTCTAGCTGTGTAGACTTGGCTGGATCTTCACACATAGCTGCCTCACAGCACCTTAACTCCTGCTCTGCAAATGTTCCTCAGTAACAAAATTAGCAACTTCAGTTTTGATATCAGCAGGGCACATCCACAATATCCTCACTGCAGCAGATTGTGAGGGGGAAGGCAAAGCTGTTTCTGCAGTTGGATCTTGTTTCTGGACCACTTTTGCACATGATGCTGCAAGACCAGTCAGAGTTAGGTCCAAACTGGAACTCAGCCTCCTTTGTTTATGATACGATACACAGTGGCTGAGCCCAGGGTTTCGTTATTCAGGCTGGATAGGTAGAGACAGACAGGTCAAAAGGAGATTTTGAACCCTCCATATGAGGTTCTGTGGCCAAAGGGCCGATCCTGACAGGCCAGTGCACACCAGAAAGACACCTCATTATAAAGGCACAACCATTTTGACAAGACCACGTTTCTGTATACAGTTCAACAGTTTCAACTGCAATATATATGAATGACTGTATTTTCCAAAAGAAAAGCACGAAATACATCCAGGTAATTACAAACTTAATCATACGCAGAATCACATAGAATCAATTAGGTTGAAAAAGACCTCTGCGGCCATCGAGTCCAACCTATGACCAAACACCACCACATCGATTAGACCACCGCACTAAGGGCCACATCTAGTTTTTCCTTAAACACCTCCAGGGACGGTGACTCCACCACCTCCCTGGGCAGCCCATTCCAATGCTCAATCACTCTTTCTGTGAAGAGATTACTCGAAATGTCCAACCTAAGCCTCCCCTAGAGCAGCTTATATCCTCTCAGATGTACGAGAAGCTGTGTCTCCTCACAGCCGAGATGTCCTGATGGCCGGGACTTCCGACAGAGAAAGGTTCGCTTCCACCAAGCGCATCGGGAAGGGCCCGCCAAAGGTGCACACGCGGCCTCTCCGAAGTTCTTAGGCTGAATTTGAGACCTGGAGATGGCATTAAAAGAGGTTCAGTCTGACGCCGCTCCCTGCAGCGCATCCCCCGACTCTTCGCAGCCACCGCGGTATATTGTCTGCTCGCAGGCGAGCCTGAGACAGCGCCTTTCCGACCAGCGCTGCCCTCCAGCTCCGACAGTGGTCGCCGCGTCCCGCACCTCCGGGCTCGGCGCCCCCAGCCCCGCCACCTCCCCACCACCGGCGGGAGCGCAGGACACCGGCACGATGCCGGGAGCCGCTCGTTCGAGGTGCCCTCTCCGGTCACCGCGGCGCCACCCCCACCCCGGGACCCCGCCGCGAAACTGGGGGCGGACAGGGGAATCTACCGCCCCGTCTCCCGCCCGAACGCTGGCGCGGCCCCGCCCCGCTCCCCCCCCGCGGGCGGGCGCCGCGGGGTGACGGGCGGGTCTCGGCCACAGCCGAGTGCGGCGTCAGTTCCGGCGGGGAGCGCGGCGCGTGGGTCGGAAGCGCCGCGGCGGTGGCGGAGCGGAAAATGGCGACGGCCGCGCAGCTCACGGATGAGGAGCTCTTCTCGGAGCTGAGGCGTTTCGGCTTTTCCCCGGGGCCGGTCACCGAGAGCACCCGGCCCGTCTACCTGAAGAAGCTGAAGAAGCTGCGCGAGGATGAGCGGGCCGGAGCCCGCGGCGGCGGCGCCAACAAGACCCGGAACAGCAACAACAATAACACGGGGGCCGGAGCGGCGCCGGGCGGAGGCGGCGGCCGCGGGCGGGCGGCCACGGGAACGCGGCTGGCCGGCGCCGAACACCCCTTCCTCCCCGGGGCTGCCGCCGGGGGCGGCCGGGGCCGCGCCGCACCCCCCGCCGGCGGTGGCAAAGTGCTGCTGGGCTTCAGCTCGGACGAGTCGGACGCGGAGAGCAGCCCCCGGGGCCAGGCCGGCGGCAGGAGGGAGCGCGCTGCGCCCCTGTTCCGCGGCCTCAGGCCCGCCACCCCCCACGGCGTGAGCAGCAACTCCCCCCCGGAGGAGGCGGCCCGGCGGAAGCCCAGCTCCTGGTGGGGGGCAGCGGCCAGGAGACCGGCGGCGACTCAGGGCGTGAGGGAGCTCGGGGGCGGCGAGGAGGAGGGAGGAGAGGAGGAGGACGACGAAGACGAGAAGGAGGAGGAGAGCGAGCAACAGCGGTGGAAGAACCGGACCGTGAACGGGAACCGGCTCCTCTCCTACGGCGGCAGCAGGGACAAGTATTCGGACTCGGAGGAGGAGGAGGCGGCGGGGGCGAGGGCCAAGCAGCAGGGACCGAAGGAGGAGTCTGCAGTTCGCCGGCCCAGACGGAGCCTCAGCAAGTCGCCTGCTCCATTCATAACAAGCAAATGCGCTGCAGCCGGCGCTGGCGTGATGGAGACGGGCCAAGAAAGGGCTGGCGGAGGCTGCGGTGCTGGTGTGCTCGTAACGAATGACAGGGCGGCGGGGGCGGCTGCTGCCGGCAGTCTAGACAGGGGCAGAAACGAGGAGGAGGAGAATGAGGCGGCAGCGGAGGGAAGAGGAGGATGTGAAAATCTGGACTCTAGTCCTCCCAGCCCCAGATACCGCCTATCCAAGAAATCCCCATCAGTATTGTTGCTGCCACCACCGCTCACGGACGTGGACAGCGGTAAAATCACTGACCCCGCAGGCACCATTAGGAAAGCGACCAATAATCATGTTCTCAGCGGTGCTCCTGGTAGCTATAATGTTGAATCCAAGATCTATTCAGCTACTAATAGCCTTCCCCCGAGTGGAACCACCTCCTCCCTTAGACTCAACCACTCCAATCATACGGGTTCAAATCATACCTACCTGAAAAACGCCTACAAGAAGAATCTCTCTGAGCCCGAGGAGGAGCTTCTCCAGCAGTTCAAAAGAGAGGAGGTATCCACCACTGGAGGCTTCAGTGCACATTACCTGTCCATGTTCCTCTTAACTGCTGCATGCTTGTTCTTTCTGATACTGGGATTCACATACCTGAGAATGAGAGGTTCTGGAGTAGCTGAGGATGTGGGAGCCAACAGTAAGTATTAGGTGAAGGGTAAGAGCAGCTTCTGCAACTGGATGTAACAACTGTTAATACGCCTTTGCAATCCCAGACATCCCTTACTGAACAGTTCTGGGCTCCAACTTAGTATAATCTCTCTGTAGAGGATGGTGCACAGAGAAAAATTGTCTTTCCTGAAGTATATAACATTGCAAGCTGGTATAAGCATGCAAGACATTTGAGGATAAATTCAAATCCTGGCATTCCCTGCTGTAATCTGTTAATACCTTGTTTTCTAGCAAATTTCCTTCTCTAAGCAGTTGTATGGTTAATAGAGAATTGACGAGGTAAGCCTTTATGCTAATCTCACAGGAGTAATCATGCACATTTAGATACCTGGGATTCCTGCAGGGCTAAGATTTGATCGTAGCCGTTTGGTAATAAAGTAGGTTATTTTCACTGGTGTGTACTGAGGCTTGAAAAGGATCCTAGGTTAAGATGATGTTACGCAGTACCACAAACTTTGTGCAGTAAATGATTTGACCTATTGTATGTTGTTTTCTAGTGGGCACTTATAAATTCAATTGACAATAATATTTATATGTGAAATACTGTTGTGCTTTAGTTCGAATTTCAGGGCATTCGTTTTTTTTAACCCTGAGTTATTTGGGAGCTTCTTTAATATATGAATAACTTCTTGGAATGGACATAGAAACTACCATTTTCTATTACAAAGCATACAAAAATGGAAATGTGCCACCTAAGGGTAGTGATTCATGCTAATTCAATTCTTGGCTGTTCTGAAATGGACAGTGAAGATTTTAACATCAGAAAGAAAAATCATGCCACTGCTGTCTTGTTTTTTCATTGATCCTGATGAAAAATAATGGAAAAAGCTAGTCTTGGGATATAAGAGCATTAGAAGGGTCTTGGCAACTTGCATTTTTCTTGAAATGATCGAGAAAGGCATGTGGGGTGTACACACGTGTGTACATTTCTTTGTGGGCATGTATACAGTGCCTTGTAAGGAGTGATCAGACTGTTCTCTTGGGATATTCTAGATGTTACAGGGCAGAAGTAGCAGTGTGGGCTGCTTTTTTGTTGGCTTTCTTTTTTTTCTATTCCCTTTTGAACGTTATTCATTACATTATGGTAGCAGAATAGTTCTTAATTGCTGTTTTGCAGTCTTTGGAGGGGTGAGTAAAAGATTTGGTGGTTAGGTAGGACAGTTGCAGCAAGGAGTTAAGACACTTGCAATGTTTTAATTGCTATCCACGTGGCTCTTAACTGCTGTTCAGTCTAGTTTTTTGGGAAGGCTGTGAACATACACAGGTAGGCTAAAATTAGATGCAGTATAGTGTGACTGTGGGGACTGCTCATACTTTGTGATTGGCTTCTGGCCATAACTGCTAGAGACATACCTACATTTTGTAATGTACTCGTAAGCTGTATAATTGTACTAACGTATTATATACTTTTTCTGGTATTGAAATATGATGATTTTAATAGGGGAGAAGGTCTGTTAGCCTACTGGGGTAAACTTTGTGACTGCCAAAGTCAGTGGTTGAGTTAAAATTGGCCTGTCGTCATGACTGATAAAGCTGAATGTCTCAGCAATGCAGATAGCAATAGTACTTAAAGTTAAGTGTTGGGTTTTTTTTTTTTATTGGAAGAAAACTTTTTGAATGTTCTATTCCTATAGAACATATGGGATGCCCATGTTGAGTATATTGACCTTAAAAAGTTAACCCAGCTGGAACTGTTGTACAGGGAAAATCGTCATCTTCTGCCCTTTTGCTTAGGTAGGGCTGCCCAGTCAGTGGTCTGATAGCCCAGTGTTGCTTGGTAGTTCAGTTAAGCCAGTTCTCGGCCTGTTCTTATTTGCTGTCTTTTCAGTGGAACTCCTGAAAGTGGATTTCCTGGAGAATTGTTCTGGCAGTGGCACTGGCATTTCATCTGTCCTACTTCCTCACAGCCCCAGGCTTTGCTCTAACATAACAAATGGGAACAGGGCAATAGCGCCCTTTGGAAGAAGCAAACAGCGGGTTTTGTGTCTAGCTCCTTTGATAGAAAGAGGAGCAGGCCACTTCTTTTAAGTAATGTGGGAATGATCAGGAAATTACCTTTCCCATATGTTCAGCATGTGCTCACTAAATTCTTTCTTTTCAAATAGGCGTATGGAACAAAAATACTGTAGGTCTGTAGAACAGGCAAGAACAGACAAGACAGGCCATTTAAGACTGATTATTACTGAAAAGGGAGAGAACCCTGTTTTCTATTAGGTGATTCCTGAGCTTAAATATCATCCAAGTGAGCACTTTGGCTCTTATGGTTATGTGGGTCTATTGTCTGTTTTCTTTATAGAAGCAGAACTGATTCATACTTTTTTATTAAAAAGAGTGGTGTATCTCAAGAAACCACCTTTTCATTTAAGTGATTGGATACTGAGGTTTTTCTTCTAGATGGTCGTAGGTAAGACTGTTGGGTGAGAGTGATTTCATTGTGAAAAAAGAGTTATTTTCAACTCCAAACTATGTCATAAAAAGTTTTCGAATTCAGCAGAGTTGCACTATATCCATCTCCATAATTATTGTGACAAAACAATAAAGGCAGTTATTTGTATATTTGGATGGCTTCTTATTTTAACTTTGCAGGGAATGATGCACAATGAGCTTAATGTTGGTTTTCTTAATAGTTAATTGCCTAAAATGAAATGCAATTAAAATAAGGTGATAGTATGTTTGTGACATTGAAAAATATTTATCACCAAGTACACTCGATATCAACACTTAAAATATTTGTCAGGCTGTAATCTAAGAACAAAGGAGGTGTGTGTAATGAGGGGGAGGCTTAAAACTACGTGTTGGGGTTGAGTTTAGCCAGGTATAATAATGTAAATGAGAAGGGGTGAGCAGAAAACTTCAGAAGGGATTTGTCACTTATATCATGCACAGTGTTCTAATAATTTTTTTTTTGTTCAGAGCTCTGAAATAGCTATGAAGTGCTTTAGTTTTTCCACACGTGGCATAAAATGTTCAAAGACAAATCAGAACTGGGCTAATTTTTCTGTATCTAACCTATAAATGGTCACTAGAAGTAAGGTTTTTATGCATTTTGCTGTCTAAAATATAGATAACTGTCTATTGGGCTTTTCCTGAACCCATTGAAATTGAACTACTCTTTAAGCTTGCATAAAAGACCAACTAATGCATAAGTGCATGTTGTGCACTTGTTGCTCTTGCTATAAAGCAAGTTTTGCTTGCACCTGCCTTCAAAATACCATGGAACTGTATCAACTTCTTGCCAAACCAGCATAGTATTTTGTCAGGAAAATGGTTGACTTTATTTTAGTCTACTTTCTAGAGTTCTTCGAACCCTGAAGAGTGGGATATCTCTTCCAACTTGTGTGGTTTTGTGATATTACTCTGAGCACCTCAAGTGGCTGCTCCTGGGAGTTAATTCTGAAATTATTTTTCATTAAAAGTTGGATAACTATATCAGATCACTTGATGTTGCTTTCACATCTGGTTCACCTTTCTGAAGGATGTGGGCATGGTACAGGTGCTGTTTAAGGTTGTAATCTGAAATCGGTTGCATTTAAGTTACTTCTACTGTTTCTGCTCCAGCACTTTGTCTGGGAAGTAGCTGATGGGGCAAAAAAACCCCAAAACAACAAAACCACCACAACAAAAAACTGTTCTTGAAACTTTCAGGCAGGTCTTGTTTAAAATCCTGTGTTCTTATTAGGAGTGGCTTTTTAAAGTGACATCTGTTGCTAGTAATTTTGGTCTTCCTGTGATACTTGTTACAAAACAACTGCTAGGAGGATAAACTTTACTATATTTGCTACAATTTGTGTTTTTGAAGTGTTAATTCAGGGAGATTTAGTAGTTGTATATATTGCAAGTGGAAGCTTATGCAAATCACAATTCTAAGAGTTTAATTCAGTTCCATTGATGTTCTTTTGTTCTTGACTTCTAAATCTCTTAGGTGTTAAAACTTCTGTGGAATTTTATGCAGGGAATTGAATTGGTAAGAAGTTAACTTGCTGGATAAAGGACAAGATGATGACTGCTATGCTCACAGGCCTGCAAATTACTATTAAAGTGATGTGGTATTTCACAGATAAATCTACTTGTTATAAATCTACTTGCCATCTAAGATCACCTTCTCAGAAGCGTCTATATTCTTGACAGTGTTGACTTTAATAGAAGAAAGTTAATTTTGCATAAGAAGTATTTATAGAAGAGGAGATAGCAAAGGGAGGGATTAAAATTAAAAGATTTGCAGAGTTCCTGTGTTGGGTGGATATTAATATTTCTTGTGGTTTGCAAAGAATACTGTAACTTGTATTTACAATATAACAACTTCTATTGAAATATTAGCATATAGCTGTTTCATTTTCTGTATGTTGCCTTAAACCCTAGGTAGCAAATGTTTCTCTTGTAGGTGATATAAGAGAAAGTCCTGATGTGTATCTTAAAGACTAATCTCAGTTGTAGCTATCTCAATTCTGTGGTTGGGTGAGATTTGAATCAAGATCAGTAGATTAAAAAAAACCGCCTAGGCTGTCTTCATAAGGTAAAGCCAGTCAGAATAGTTAAATTTCCCTAGGATTCCTGATAATTTTAAACTCTAGTCTTCCTTATGGTATGTCAGAAATAATTCTTTAAAATGACAAACAAATTTGGCCTTTTATCTAGGAAAGTCCGAGTAATTATTATATAGTCCCTTTTATCTAGACTTTTGTCTAGGAAAGTTCTAATTGCTATATAGTGCAAAATAGTTAATTTTAGCTGACAATTTCAGGTCCTTCCTAAAGGATAATAAACAGTCTATTTACCTTTGCAGCAGATCTGTAGTATGAAATATAATATGAAAATTACTCATCAGTGTTTGAAACAAAAATGATGCAAATTCAGAATTCCTGTTTTTAGGGAATTTTGACTCTTTGTTTTAGTTTTGGCTCTTTGTTCAGAATATTTATAAATACTTTGCATTCGTACCTTAAATGTGCTGCTGTTTGCAGATGGGCA